TTTCTCCCACAGAGCAGGTGGGGATTTTGAACTGCTGATCTTGCAGTTACTTCACTGAATTGAGGTGAGTAGGTTGAAAAGCTTTGAAATTGCTGAGTGCTTAATGCCACGGTCAAGCTTCTGGATTTTCACCTGGGTTGCACAAAAGCTGTTGTGATTCGGTGTTATCAAGTTGGTTCCAATTTCTAGGGACCGTGTGTGTGTGTGTGTGTGTGTGTGTGTGTGTGTGTCTCGGCTGGTCTTGAGCTGGCTTTACCATGATTGCTGTTTCAGTCCATTGTCACAGCCGCTGTGTCAGTCCAGCCAGAGAAGCTACTGGAAAACTTGGAGCAGAGGAAGGACTTTATCCTTTACCTCTTCAAAGGATCCCTTTGATTGCTGTGCGGAAAAAAGGACTTCCAACATTGTGGTAGTCAGGAAGCCCATCCCCAAACATGTCTAGTTTCTTGTCCTCTCAAGTTCACTCCATGGTCCTTTGCCATTGGGTGAGGTCGTGTGTAACTCTTGCCAATGAATTGTTTCCCAGGTGACTTCCAGGCAGAACATTTAATTGCCAGTGTGAAGCCTCCCAGGGTTCCTTCTCTCTGGGTCACACGCGGCAGCCTGGGTTCCAGAGTGAAGCTGTGTGGAGCAGAGCTAGCTGACCCAACACACAGCTTCAACAAGAACTCAATCTTTGCTGCGATCAATCCCTACGATTTAGTCATTGTGTCATCTACCTACTATAGTCTAGCGTATCCTAACATGTACTTGTAACAAGAGAGGTAGGGAGACCAGGTAGGAGGCTGGAAGGTGATCCTAACTGGGATGGGAGTGATAGTGCCAGCGATAATGAGATAGTGACCAGCTTCACAGTGATTTGCTGATGGACTGGATGTAGGGTCTGAAGGAAAGAGAGAAGTCAGGCATACTGCCCAGGATGATGGCCTTGATAACTGGGTGAGTTGCAGCACAAGGCAACACTGGAGGAAGCAGAAGCTTATTCACAGTGCTGGGCACACGGCAAAATGACGCAGCCTCTTGTGGTCCTTACTATTAAAGGGCAGATGCCACCGACTGCAGTTTGTTGGGGGATTTTCAATCCACAATGAGGAGAACAAAACAGAACAGAGAGATTTATTTTCAGTTTGTTTTTTACTTGTTTTGTTTTAAAAACAAATAGCTTTACTAAGGTGTGTCTTATATATTGTAATATTTACCCTTTTTACTTTATAGGCTTAAGGGTTCGGACAATTGTGTTCTGTTTTATAACCTGCACATCCTGTTGTGGCCCTTTGTAGTCAACTCCTTCCTGTCCCCGAAGTTCCTGGCAGCCATTGGCCTGTTGTTGATCCCGGTAGCTTTGCCTTTTCTAGAAGGTGGTCGACATGGAATCACACACTACCGGCCTTTTTTTTTTTTACACTACCTGACTTTTAAAAATTGGCATCTTTCACTTAGGATAAATACTTCTGAGAACCCTTCATGTTGTTCCATGTGTTGGCGCTTTGTTCCTTTTTATGGCTGCGTAGTACTTCATGGTACACGCGTTCTGCAAGTTGTTTACCCATTTACCAGCTGGGGAACATTGAGGCTGTTTCCAGATGTTGGTGATTATGAATCACATTATGAAAGCAACGAGGCTTTTTTTTTGGTGAAGGGGTGGTGAGCATAGTATTTGTGGGAACATAGTTTTTCATTTTCTTGGTAAGTCCTTTGCAGTGGATTGCTGGGTCATATGGTTTATAACAAACTACCAAACTACTTTCCAGTGGGGCTATATTACCATATCTAATGCCTACCAGCAAGTATGAGTTGCTCCCCAGCACTTGGGACTGTCAGGGTTTTGGATTTAGAGCA